GAGCTCCGAAATTCAACAGTTTCGAACAACGCATACACTCATTATTCACACAAATAAAGTCTGTGGAGTATTGCAAAAATTAATTTGAATCCCTAGCGACACAGTGGAGTACCTAATTGAATGGAAATAATTCATCATAAGTCCACTCGACCGGTTACAGGAAGGAGACACATTTTATCTAGGTGATTTGGGTTCAATCACCATATTTTGTGCTCAGGATTCTATAGCTGTAATATAAAACACCCTGAATATTTTATGTAATCATTGTTTTCGATTATAATCTGTCATTCATCTGCACCGGTTTTAATTGAAATTTCAGGCGATTTACTGGAAGAAAATTAATGATTTTGTCTCGAAGTCCGTCCAACACTTGAAAAAACATCCGCCTGCTGTGAAAAAACAAGTGAATAATAACGGAGATAGGGGCGCTATCGAAAAAAATAATAAAATCAGAGAGTTTGAGCTGCAAGGACGATTTGAAGCGATGAAGGCTTTCGAAAAGTATCAGAGCAAAAAAATCAAGGAATTGGCTCTGTTGAAGAAAATGTTGGATGTTTGAAATTCATGAAATCGTCGTTGCTGAAAAATTGTTATTCGAGTTATAGTTTCACTCATGACAAATAGAATAAGTTTTGAATTCATGATTAGAATTGGAATTTGCTCATCAATGCTCATTGATAGAATTACATAATTACCAACATTTATTGTCTTAATTCTGTCTGTCTTGTTTTTTTTCTGAAATTTGTAGGAGATCGCTGCTTCGAAGTTGGGAACCAATTAGTTATAAGGTACTGTATTATTGTATGGGGTGGGTTGAATGGAACACACTTACATAATCTTTAAGTGATACAAAACACCTCACTTAAAATAGTATTGGAAAGAGACAGAAGACATACAACTGAGAGCTTATACAAGGAGGCTAGTTTATTTAATATCAGAAAATTATACACCTATCACTGTATACTATGGACGATGAACTCGCCTCTTACATATCTAACACGCATTTATGACACCAGATCAGAGAAAACAATCAGTGTTCCTTTTTGTAAAAGATTATAAACCCAAAGGTTTGTTACTTTCTTTGGACCAAAACTTGTCGATCAAGTTCCCATTGAACTACGAAATTTGGTTAAGGTTGCATCAGCGGACATTTTTCTTATTTTCGAGTATGGAGCTAGCAGAATAGAATTCGACTTAAATTCCTTATTCATGATATAATATGATATTTTTAGAGTTTCTATTCTATACCGGGTGACACAGGGTGTCGGGCCACCCCTGTAACTTCTGCTTTCGTCGTCGGATTTTTCTGAAATTCGGTACAGTTATATAAGCAATCATTTCAGATTTGATCACATTACAATCCAATATGGCGGACTTCCGATATTTCTGGAAATGCCAGCAACTTTGTTTTTTCAAATGAAACACCCTGTATATTTTTACATATTCAAGTTCAACAGGTCGAAACAAGTGCAATCTTTATTTCAAATGTCATTTTTTCGAAAACAATTAAATTAAAATTGTTTTTTCATTTCACGTCGTGGATAAATGAGATGTGGTCAAGACTATTCACAATGAGTCACACATAACAGAAGAACATAATTTTTTCTGAAAAATTATTTTTTGTGTCACTTATCCAGGAATCAATTCAGCCACATCACTTTTTGATCAAAAAAAATTTTTTTTCAAATGGAACCCTTATGGGCCACCTACCCGTCTCTCTAGAACATACATTAAGGAACAAAATGACATATCATTTTTGTTTTTCAGTGCAGTAACAAATTGTATACATTCAAAAATCAACAACTAGTTTATGAATTTCCTTGCAGTTAAAATAATCTCTCAACTAGGTAGGCTGTGGAATGAATGACATTTGACATCAAGATTGCACTTGTTTTGACCTGTTGAACTTGAATATGTGAAAATATACAGAGTGTTCCATTTGAAAAAACAAAATTTCTGGCATTTCCAGAAAAACCGGAAGTCCGCCATATTGGATTGTAATGTGATCAAATCCGAAATAGTTGCTTATATAACTGTACCGAATTTCAGAAAAATCCGTTGACGAATGCAGAAGTTACAGGGGTGGCCCGATAACCTGTGTCACCCGGTATATTCCATGAAAAGAATACGTATTTGTTATTACATACAATTTATTGGTTGGTGTACAGTACTTTCAACAATTTTCCATATAATGCTGATATTTTATTGAAATTATTTTTTGAACAAAATTACCAAAACATTAATCGAATAGTTGATTTGACCTAGTATATGAGAGTAGAGAATCATGTTTGCTTTTTCTTCGTCAAAACATTTCTAAAAGACATATGACCGGTGCATCCTCTGCTATGGGAACTAAATCAATGATTGTGGAGCATAAGGGCCAAGGTCAAGGTCGGGCTAATTACATTTACATCCAGGATACAGGATAACCTCCACGAAGGACAATTTATATGATTGACTTCAGCGGAGCTCGACAATCTGGGTTATATCCAATACAAATACAATATATTAGCGAATGGAGAGCTGCGAGACCACAATCATAATCATATCCCATCCCTATTTGCGCTGCTATTAAAAATGTAGTCATGAAAAGCAAATATCATCAACTTCATCTATTCGAATATAAAACATCTATACAGGAGGGTAGGGTGTGGTTGAATAGGTGCAAAAAAATTCAGGAGATTACTCGTCAATATTTACGAGTGGATTACCCCTATACCTTTTTTTTTGTTTCCACAGAGGTTATTCGACTTCTATAACCTGAACGCTATAATTATAAAAAATACTGCTATATATATTATAGAACCTCTAAGAATTCTCTTCAATGCGTGTATTGGACAAGGAGTTTTTCCAGATAAGTTCAAAATTGCACGAATTCTTCCTATTTTTGAAAAAGAAAATGCAAATGAAATCGGAAATTATCGTCCGATATCGATAATTCCTATTTTTGGAAAAATATTTGAAATCATATCGAAAACTCGCCTTTATAGTTACTACATTAAACATAAACTATTCAACCCAAATCAGTTTGGATTCATAAAATCGACATCAACTATACATGCACTGAAGAAAGTTATTGACACTATAATCGATGGCTTTGAAAAAGGAGAGCACACTGTGGCTGCTCTTTGTGACCTGACCAAGGCGTTTGATTGTGTATCTCATTCAATTCTTGTCAGTAAACTTGAAGTATATGGTATAAGAGGGGTAGCTCTTGCTCTATTTAAATCATATCTATCAAATAGACAGCAATGTCTTGCACTTGATTCGAATAATGTTTCTGAGTTGGAACTCATCAAATGTGGAGTACCACAGGGATCTGTTTTGGGCCCTCTCCTTTTTATAATTTATATCAATGACCTCTTCACTTACATGTCTCCCTATGGTTGTATTGCTTTTGCTGATGACACCACCCTTACCACTTCTGGTAAGGATAGACAAATGCTTTTGAATGAAATTAATCTGGCCCAAGGAAAAGCGGCATCATGGTTTAGAGGAAACAATTTGATGTTGAATTCGAATAAAACTCAACAAATCGATTTTTCTCCAATTGTCTCTAACAAGAACTCAGTCAAATTGTTGGGCATTTTTCTAGATGACACACTGAACTGGTCAGTTCACATAGAGCAGCTTAGTAATAAAATCTCCAAATATATATTCCTTCTCCGAATACTGAAGAATATTATTGGCGTTCAGGCACTGCTATCAGCAAATTATGCATTTTTCCACTCCCAAATTTCATATGGAACAATTTTATGGGGCAATAGCATAAAAGCCATTGAAATATTTATCCTTCAAAAGATAGCAATAAGAATTATCGCTGGTGCTGGCTACGCTGATTCATGTAAACCATTCTGCAAATCCCTAAAAATCATGACGCTACCATCTATTTACATATACCAACTTTTGTTGGATATTCATAAAAATAAAGAAGATTACGGAAAAAATGCTGACTTTCACGATTATCCCACCAGGAGCTGTCAATTGATCAGGTCAAACAGATTCAGATTGCATAAATCTAGCAAAAATTCTCTGGATGTGAATCTCTACAATGCACTCTCTGTATGTGTAAGAAATCTTAATCCATACAACTTTGAGAAACATTTGAAAGATTTCTTAATTTCGAATGCCCTCTACTCCATAGAAGAATATATATATGGCTGCCCTGAGGTCTGGTGCTCAATAATGATACTATCTATCTTGTGTATTTTTTTTTATTAAGTATAGGCAATTTACATATATGTATATTTTTTAAATTTTGTTTTTTTAATATGTCTGTATTTGTGCAACTTTTTCAATATGTTTCTAATACTTAAGATTTTTATCTGTACCTCATTTTTTTAGAAGCTTGACTTGTCTTATTTATATCACATCTGTACACCTAAAAGATCAATAAATTATCTATCTATCTATCTATCTATCTATCTATCTATCTACCTTCCCGCGTCTTCCATCGTGTGTGGCGTGATTAGTTGTTTCATGCAATACAATGTGATGTCGTCGGAAAGTGAAAGTGAGCCCTTCCAAGATTCGGGGAGTGAATATGTTCCAAAAACATAGCTGTTGAAGAAGAGGACCCAAATTCTGGCAATGTTAACGAAGATCAAGACGCAGGAATCGTCAGCGATTTATCCTATGTTCAAAAGACTATTTGTTTACAATATTTTTCGTGATATATTCCATATTTGATGGAAAATTATTACACGAGTTTGACTATATTTTCAGAATTTCGTCTTTTTGGATCGAGAAACAGGCAACTCCATTTTTTCAAACTCCTTTCTCAGCTTCTACAATGTGAATGAAAATTAGTATCTGAGGAAATACAGCTTATCTAACGTACCTAACTCTTGAGGATGCATACCATTTAGCATAATGTTTTTCAAGTTTCTCAAAAATATCAAGTTTTTTTTTCCATCCCCCAACATTTTAAAAAATTGAAGTTGCCTTGTTTTTGCACCGAGGTCTCCGATTATGATCGGAAAAATCAAACATCAACTCACCCGTCATCCAAAGTCGTGCCAGTACTCTGCTCCCCGCTCGCCTGCACCGCCAACTTGGTCAGTAATCCGGGCGCGAGCGTCTCCTCGGGATTAAACGACAGATTAAAGTCGGCCGAGAAGGGATCCGAGTCGGCGCACTGTGTACCCGCCCTCAGCCCGCTCCAGCTCGGCCGCACCCACGTGAGGGTAGTGCAGGACCGGTCCAGGCGTAGGTAAAGGGGGTGGCCGCGCGCGGCGGCCGAAGCTGATGGAGCGGGCAATGCTCCCTCGCCCCCCTCCCAGAGGACGCAAGTGCTGCCGTGGTGGAGGATCTGCGAACGTGAAACTAAGCTCACTAAGGATTAATGAGGATTACTGGGGATAACTAGGGATTACTCGACGATCCTTGAGGGATCAACAGGGGTCATTGGGAGAACCGCTAGATAACTGAAAGACTTGGTGTTCCTTGGGCCCAGGATTACTAGGTATTTCCGAAGTATCACGAGGGGTGGTACTACATGATTACTGGGGATTAACCAGTCTTGATAGGGTATCATTCGGTGTAACTTGGGAGCTAACAGTTGTCAATAAAGAACGACTGGGCAATACCGAGGAATTACTCAGTGTTACTGCGAGATTACTCGGTGTTTCAGGGGGATTACCACGTGTTACTTCGACAGATTACCAGGTGTGAATCGGGAAACCACTGGGCGATACTGGAAGTGATATTAGGGGATTACTCGTTGTTGCTAGAGAATTAGTGGTATGTTAATTGGTCATTAGATCACTGAAATCTTCATTTGACTACAGATTCCTTGCAAACAATATATTTATGTGAACAAGAATAATTGACACTGAGTTTTAAGTCGCGCTCACGTGAACGTCGAGTTGGACTGATCTAGGCGCAGGTAGAGGGGTGATAACGAGCAATGGCGGAAGAAAAATGGATAACTAATGCTCCATCTTCCCCCTCCCAGAGGACGTACTTGCTGCTTTGATGGAGGATCTGTGAACGAGAATCAACTGTGGGGATATTCTATATTAATATGGGATTACTGGGGTTACTGAAGAGTTGCAGGGGATTACTCTGTGTTAGTAAGGGGTTGTCAGGCGCCAATGGGATAATCACTAGGCGATACTGTTAGATCGTTCGGTGTTACTGATTGATACTTACGTATCAAGAAGGAGGCTACTCGTTGTTACTTGGGGGATTACCAGGAGAACAGGTAGGCGATAAAAATAGATTACTTGGTGTAACTGATGATTACTCGGCGTTACTGAGGATAACTCGACGTTTCTGGGAGATTAGTCGGGGTGTCTGTGGACACGCGTGGTGGTGGAGCAGGAAAGGCGGACAATGTCCCATCGCCGCCATCCCATATAGAAGGTGGGATAACTGGAGATTACTCGGCGTTACTAAGGGGTCACTAGGTGTCACTAGGTGTCACTAAGTGGTACTAGAGAATTAATTAGTGTTCCTGAGGATTACTCGGAGTTACTGAGGAATAACTCGGTGTGTATGGGGGAGACTAGTCGGTGTTTCTGGAGAATTACTGGTATGTTGATCCGCTTATAAGATCAGTGGAATCAATGAAACTTATGTGTTCGGTAGAGATGAAGTAATTTTATTTGACTACCGATTTTCCCCAAAAATATATATTATTCATGTAAACAAGAGAAACTATCATTGAGTTATTGATCAGTTTTCTCTACCCAATCCTCATGAAAACACGTTCTGAACTGGATCACATGAAATAAAATTGACATGAAAGTTGTGGATCAAGCGATTCATCAATTCCATTTCATAACAATTTTGGAAAACGAGTTTTTCCATGACTGTGGTGAAGGATCTGCCAAATGGAACTAGGAATTACTGGGGATTACTGGGGATTACTGGGGGATTACTACTTCTGCGTTATTCAAGGATTCCGTTTCTGTTAAACGATATATCTGCAATAACGTAACAAGGTTGATTTGATCGGTGAGTTTCGATGAAATATTTGGATCAGCTCTACATCCTACTGAAAAAAACGCATCATCATTGAGAATACCCTTCGTATGTTTCAATATTCTTTTCTATGCAGGTAATGAAAAATCCGCACCTGAAAGATTTTCATTTCATTGACGTAAGCAGGTAATATTCCTGATGGAACGAAATTAATCTGGAAGAACTCGTCTAATATGCAGCGTTTCTTACCTGTATCACGTGCTGATCGATTTTTGTCAAAGGCGACGACAGACAAACGAAACTAACCCCATGGTCGTGCACCAAGGGTTGTACAGGGTGATAATCGTCTACATCACAGTCGTACTCGGCGTCCAATTCGACTTTTTCCGTGGGTCCGAACGCTAAAACGCGTTGTTCGTTTTCTGCTGATAACCTGAAAACATCGAAGAATCTCACCACAATCATTTAAGGAAAATAGTTAATTTCGTCGACATCTACAAAAAATTCACATTCAACGTTTTAATTTCCGAACGAAAAAACGACTATTTCCGAAGGCAAGTAGTTTTCGTTCGCAGACACTAACTTTTCATCCGGAAAGATTTTTCGTCCGCTGCAGGGTTGCCAATATTTTGACTCTCATTGATTATTATAATTACCTATATTATTATTAATACTCAGTTAATCTTATACATTCATAAATTGTATGATATTTCGACACGCTATCTTTGAATTAATTTTACAAACTAAGTAATAAATGTACAGGGTATCCCAAATTGGGCACTTTTGCGGGGTACCTCCCTCATCAGTAAAGATAGAGCATTGTGTTCTCCGCGACAGTGTGCTACTTTTTAATGAAATCAATAATGGCGCAAGCAGAATTAAGATAGCTCTCCCAGTTGTCGAGATACAGGGTGTAATTGAAAAATATCACTTTTCAGGCACCCCCCGTGTCTCAGTTATCTTTGAACTTATCGAAGAAATCAAAACTTGAACTGATAGAGATTTTCTCTTAGAATCCAGTGGCGTAGCTATATTTTTGCTAGCACATTTTGTTTTTCAGTTATGGAGCAAACATATGTTTTTTAAAATGGAACACCCTGTATATTATTTCATATATTCATCAAGCATGAAGTGAGCTTTCCAAAAATATATAATTGCATACAATTATTTTCAAAAACAGGCTCAGAATATCAGATTTTCAAAAAAAAATTTCAGGTAGAAGAATATGGATAAACTTTATCGAAAACAAAATTTATGTGAGTGATTATCACACACTCCTTATGCTTTCAAACTCAATTCGAATAATATTTTTTGATTTCTCATTCCTTATAATTATTTATTACATCATTCGAACTTAATTATTATGATGGATAACAACAAACACCAAACCTATTTTACTTAAGATTCAACGTAGGAAAAAGTAAATAAAAGCAGAAGTTTGAAAATGCAAAGAGGTTTCATAGGAGGTTTTCAAAATGACGACCATTTTCCCGTATACAAAATTAAGAGCAAGGGCATTGAATATGAAAAAAAAAATCTTCTGATGTATTTGAGAATTCGCATTCTCCTTCAGATAAAACTATGTATATACACATGTTCAAGTTAATATCGAATTAGGATTGGAAAATCTAACCTCAAAAAAGTTATGTTTAAATCCACCCGCTACGAATCGTGTAATGTAATGTGTAATAATGTAATGAGCTGTGTCTGCCATCCATACAAAATTTCATTACAATGTTGCGAGTAGTTTCAACAAAATCGTAAAAAATGTGTGCACACCTTGTATCTTGAAAACGGATACCGTTATGCCATTTTTTACTGAACAAATCCAACTAATTTCGCAGTGTTCTTCACCTACCCTAGCAAGAGGGACAGGTTTTTTAAACACCCTGTTTAGATAACGTAAACTCATGGAGATCTACCCTGTAGATTGTACCCCCTATTTTCCCAAATTGCAGCAGCCATATACAGGTTGATTCACATAACAACCGAACATAGGGCAGGGGCATGTAGGGGGTCCCAAAATATGGCAATTTAACGCAACTTACCTCTATACCAAGTTGCTTCCTTAAGGAGTTATAGGCATAGCACTAACAGCATGTCAACTTGCTCGTTAAAAGAAAACTTCCCGTTCATTTTAAGAACACTCAAACAACAATTACCTAATTGAACAACTCACTTGCCTCATTGTCAAGTTTGACGTTTATTTTCATAGCCAACTTTTGAATTTTCGATGATTTCAAATAACACACCTAGAGCGCGCGTTCTCAGTTATTCCAGTTTTTGATGAAAATGATGAGGTTTTTCGAAAAATCACTGGAGTAAGAAAAGTTTTAGAATTGAATTGCCCACAAAACAAAGCAAAGATTTTTGAAATCCATCAGGGGTTAACAAAATCATGTTGAATATTAATGGTGCGCCACCCGGTATACCCCCTTTACAAATTTCAATTGAACTCTAGTTACTGTCAAGTAACGCCCTGAATACATCCACAAAGTGTACCAAATTTGGTTGCTTTAAGTTCAAGAATAACGAAGATATTGAGTTTTTTTCAAAATTTATAACTTCACTTTCAAAGCCTATATCTCCTTAGGGAAGCAACTTGGTATAGAAGTAAGTTGCGTTAAATTGCCATATTTTGGGACCCCCTACATGCCCCTGCTCTATGTCGGTTCTTATGTGAATCGCCCTGTATTATTCTTGATCGAGACACCCTATGAGCCCCATATGTTGCACGAATCCGAATCCTTTGTCGGATCATAGAGTGACTTGCCTTCTCTAAATTGATTTCTATTATCAACCGATGAAAGAAATCAAGCTGCCTTACTCGAGTTTCCTATTCTGGGAAAGTGGGAACATCTCAATGAATTTCTCGAAGTCTCAATATATTCGAAGCATTCACATAATATAACTCGATAATACAAAGCTTATGGCTCCACTTGACAGGGCACACGGTTTCTATGTTCGAGCTCCGAGCTGATCTTATTGGAAATGTTTGCTGCCAGTCTTCTGCCGTCGTGAAGACTTGGAATAAATCAATTTCTGCATGCGAATCAGATGGGAAATTGCATAGAAAGGTACACTATTAGCTATCCACTTTTATAAGTGGAATTTTCAGCGAATGTTGTGGATAGGTTGAACGTATAATAGCTTCCAGACATGGTCGTGGGAAAGGAACACAACACCCCTGGAAAAGATAAGCATCGACATCCCCACCAAGCCCACCATATCTATGCTCGGTATTTCCATCAGCAACACTCTTTCATGGGATAATCATGTCAGATCCATCGCAAAAGCTGCTTCACAAAAACTCGGATTCTTGTTCCGTGCGAAAAGCTACTTTACACTCCAACAGCTTCTCATGATCTACAAAGCGCAGATACGGCCTGTTCTAGAATACTGTTCCCACATATGGGGTTCAGCACCAAAACATACGCTGATACTCTTAGATTCCATCCAGAGAAGAGCCATTCGCCTGGTGGGTGACGCCACACTCACTCACTCTTTGGCATCATTGGAACACCGTAGAGAAGTCGGCGACCTTTCACTTTTCTATCGATACTTCCACGGGAAATGTTCTTCGGAAATCTCTGCTATCATCCATTCACTAGCAATACCAATCAGACGAACTAGACAAGCCCAGTCAGCACATCCTTTCGTTGTCAACCTCGAAAGATGTCGAACAGCACTTTATCAGGATTTCTTCATCCATAGAACGTCTAGGCTCTGGAATTCATTGCCTGTGGAAGTATTCCCAACAACATATAATCTCCAAAAGTTCAAAAAAAATTCCAATACCTACCTCCTGTCCCTATCCTCCCTAGGAACGCACGATGTTCTTTGAACATTATAGGGAAAAAAAAGCTGACACAGCGCAACGAACGATCTAACATCAAGTTTTATCTGATTTCTCATCAAAATGGGATTACTCTAACATGCTTTCTGATACTTGAATTCAGGGGCGTCCGGAGGGGGAGGCAAGGGGGGGCGCTCGCCCCCCCCCTTAGCGCCTGGTCTTTACTCATCAGATACTTTCTAAACAAGATACATTTGCATTCAATTCCTATTCTGATTAGCGCTTATTATAGTGACTTTCTGAGACTTTATTTAATTAGATTCATCGACATCTTATAGATATATAAAGAGTTAATTGTATCAACGAAGTTATTGATAAATTTGCTCAAGACTCTATAAGAATGCTATTTTTCTTTGGACAAGATTATGATTATCATCACGTGCAATTTTTTATTGTAATTTTGGCTGTAAACAGAATACCTATGTGATGTCAATTCAATTATTATTCTTTTTTTCATTCCATGTTTTATGTAGGATAATTGTAAATTATAGAGTGGGCCTTTGAAAACGAAACAGAGGCTCTGTAGGTCGCCAAAACCGGATTATCAAAAAAAACTGAAACACGTCAACTACGTTTTCGAGGGGGACATCGTACTACAATATTTTCAGCCCTGCGGCGTTGCCGCTTCTAAAGAAAAGAAGGAACAACTTTGTTATTTCAAATGGAACACCTTGTATTTTATTGCATTTTCAGATTCTCCCCGAAGAGCTGATTTCATCAATGCATCACACTTAGGGTCTAGCTGTAATGGTTTCAGGGATATAAAGTGTTCAAAATCGAGATTTTTCAACTTTAACATTTTTTTGTGTCGAAACTATTCATTATTGGTCAAAACGGCTCTCATGTCCCGATCTCAACTTGTGATTTACTATCTACTGACATTTATTTGAAACAAATACAGGGTGGTTCAAGATTCAGAATTCTGATCACCCTGTATCTGTTCCAATTAAATGTCAGTAGATAGTAAATCACAAGTTGAGATAGGGACATGAGAGCCGTTTCGACCAATAATGAATAGTTTCGACACAAAAAAATGTCAAAGTTGAAAAATCTCGATTTTGAACACTTTATATCCCTGAAACCATTACAGCTAGACCCCAAGTGTGATGCATTGATGAAATCAGCTCTTCGGGGAGAATCTAAAAATGCAATGAAATACAAGGTGTTCCATTTGAAATAACAAAGTTGTTGCTTCTTTTCGTTAGCAGCGGCAACGCCGCAGGGCTGAAAATATTGTAGGACGATGTCCCCCTCGAAAACGTAGTTGAAGTGTTTCAGATTCTTTTCATAATCCGGTTTTGGCGACCTACAGAGCCTCTGTTTCGTTTTCAAAGGCCCACTCTGTATATCGAGAGAGTAAAGTGCATGATTTTTCCAGAGGTGGTTTTGTAGCCAGAGGGTGCTACAATGCACTGAGGGAAGAAAGAACTCACTTCCGAGGTTTATATACCATTTTTGCACGACTCGACGATTCAAATTGAAAGTATCTTATGATAAAATCAATTATTGTCAATATGATAATGAAAATATAAACACAATGATCACAAAATGAAGTTAGATTATCATGACTACCGATG